CAAGGAGAGTTATATCTGCTCAGAGTAAAAGTGACATGCTTGTAAATGCACTGTACTAGTATAGAGCTTTTCTAGTCTTCTGACCACTCGATGCGCTTTAACACTACTAATCATTCACCCATTCACACCCATTCATACACTGATGACAAGAGCTATCATAGACAGTACCACCTGCCAATCAGTAACTAACATTCACAGCTACAGCAGCAATGTTGGGTTAGGTGTCTTCCCCAAGGACACATCGACATACAGGTTATACAGGTTAGCCGGGCCTGGGACCGAACCACCACCACTCTGATTGGAAGACGATCGTGCTCCCCACTCACCCACAGTGTTTATAGGACTCCTGTGGAGACTCCGCCGGTTCCCGAGTTTCACTCCATGGAAGATTTTCCACTTGAGCAGTCTCGGGACGATACCCTACGCTCAGCCTACGACCAAGTGATACGAATTGATGGTCACCTGGTGCGCCCTGACGCGGCGCAGTCATTTCTGCACTTTTCATTGGTTAGGGACAGACTGTATAGGGTGAGTCGTGACACTCAGACGGGGCCGGAAAACACTCAGTTGCTGGTGCCGAAAAGCCGCGGGGAAATGGTTTTCCAGACGCTCACTATAACCCAATGGCTGGTCACATGGGATACGAGAAAACGCTAGACCGGATAATGACCCGATTTTCTTGGCCAGGCATCCGGGGGGACGTGCGCCGCTGGTGCGCGTCCTGCCAGGAAACTATGAATCTGTCTTTGTTGAAAAGACATGTACCATAGTTCTTCAAGGTATCTGTAATCAATCCTCTACTTAAGAACCCCACTCTTGCTCAAATGGTGTAGGCTGATTATAGACTTATCTCTAATCGCCACTTCCTCTTTAAGAACCTTCAGAAAAAAGTCGCAAATTTGCATAACATTTTCTCTCAGTCCTACTTTAAAAAGCTAAGAAGACTCAACCACTTATTTTGGTTAAATTAAGCTCGTAAATTACTTATGATTGAAACAAAATAATACAATACAGGTTCCTACACTGCAAATGAGGTTTCCCATTATCACCATAATAAATCACTGCTCTCAATGGAATACATACCTGACCACTGCCGTTATCATAAACCTAATGATGAGCATAAACATGAATGAAATTAAAAATCTGCAATTATATGCAACAATTCCTTTGTACGTCATCCAATGTAATTGAGTGACGTTGTGTTTTTTGTGTTATAAAATAGAGAAAATAAAGCATTGAAATGCCAGCTGCTGTCAGGGATGGGTGGAAGGCAGGACTCAAACGCAGACTTTTTAGAAAACAAAAGACTTTAATAGTCAAAAGGCAGAAACAATAGGCCAAGGGGCAAAAACGCGCACAGGAACCACGGCAAAAATGCAGGCACGAACTAGACACATCCAGGACGTTCGACAATGACGCCACAAGTGACAAGAGACACACACAGTGTAGCGGCCGTCTGCCACTTCCTGTGTGTGAGTGTTGGTACTTTTATTTTGAAATGTAATTAGCATCAGAGTCACGTGGGCAGGGGTGCAGTAGTTTATGAATGAGTGTAGGATCTAGGCGGAGTGATGGTTGTATGGACATGGGGGTGAGTAGGGAGTCGATACTTTTTGTTGACCGTATTCTACAGCGCACTTTATTGCATCGTCGCACAGCATGTATCGCTTCGCCTGCTTGGATGTTTTTTAACTTGACTTTCGGACAATAAAATCAATCAACTTCACAGGAGGAATCTGTGTCTGTTTGGAACGAGTCCACACTCCAATCTCCCGTACTTAGCCTCACGTGACTCTACCGGATTGTAGTCTCCACACACGGTTTAAATACACTAGGGAGGTGCAGGTGATTGGACACAGGTGGAAACAATCAGACAATCACAGGGGATGACAGGACAAGGCAGGAAGTGAAGTTACCCGGGGACACGAGTGGCAGAAAACTACAAAATAAGACAGGACGTGAACCCAAACCGTGACAGCTTGTCCAGCCAGTGCTGGTAAATCTAAGCGGACCCCAGGTAGAAACAAATCCGGGTCAAGCCCCCAACATCCCCCTTGAGAAGAGAAGTTTTGACTGAGCATTTATGAAAACAGCATCAGTGTTCTTTTTCCAGTTCAATTTACAGTCCAGATAGACCCCAAGATATTTAGAAGACTTGACCATTTATATCTGTAATCCTGCAATCATGCCTGGGGAGACCTCTTCCTTTTAACATTTAGTTTTAAGACATTTTCATCACACCGGCTGACAAGATTCAACCTCCCGTTTATTGGCCAGGTCATTGCCTCGGGTAAAGAGACCAACCAGGGTAGTGTAATCTGAGGACTTTGTGTCGCATGTGTTACAGGACACATGCGTCTTCCTACAGTCTGTTGTATAGAGTGAGAATAGAAAAGGGGGTAAGACTGCTCCTTGTGGGTCTCCAGTTTAAGTTCAAATAGTGTCCGAAAGTTTTCTGTCACGCCTGAAAAACTGTGGTCGAGACAAAAGGTAATCCAAGACACAAACAATAGTTGTGTTTTGCAGTTTAAACGTTTTTTTAGCTAAACGGAATTGTATTAAAAGTACTAGAAAAGAAAAGAAAAAAACATTATCCTAACAGAGCTGGCCGTGGTTTCAAGATGTCTATAAATACCGTGGAGTATAAAAAGAAGTGCATCATCAACCTCTAAACCCGTCCTGTGTGCAAACTGCAAGGGATCCTGGAGGACTGAGACCTGCCTAAACAGGTGACCAAGGACAACGCTTTCAAAAAATGTCATTATATGCAATGTCAGGGCTATCGGTCTCAGGTTAGTTAGACCATGACTCGTCAGACTGTTTGTCTTTGGGATTAGAAGAAGACAAGATGTTTTCCACATTACTGGAATTTTTGAGGAAGACAGAGACAAGGAAAAGAGTAAAGGATGAGCACAGACCTACAGGTTGCGTGGATGGACACCATTCAGGGCCTCCTGCCTTGTAAACCTACAGGCGCTTTAACTGCTGTCGATCAAAATTTATCTAAATGGCTGGGCTTCAGTCCTCAGGACTACTCAGTGCAAGGGAAGCATGGATGCTCTCGTGATATGCAAATTAATCAAACCTTAAAAAAGAACTGATTGGCTTTAACTACATTGATCCCATCTCATTTAATCCCATTTAATTCTGTTCCAAAGGCCCTTTTTGTTACTTTTGGACGTATGTCCTTCAACTCCCAAAATGTACGCTTACCCTGTTTGATTATAGCTTTTACTCAGGAAATGGTCTCTGTGCCTGGCATACAACTTGAACAATAACGTGAGAGAATGCCTGGGCAAATAGTACGGTAGAATATTATCACGAGCAGCTCAATGTTTGGGTCACAAACGCTCTCTTTCACCGTGAGATGTCGAGGATGAAATTACCCATCATTGATGTAAAGGCAAAAACACCTCCACTTTGTATTTTACCCAATCTGTGCTGGATCTCTGTCCATACTGTGTAGTGAGAATCCCTCCATCTTCACGTGGGACTCGTGTATCCCATCGGACAGCCAGGTCTCCTTCAAACACAGCAGGCTGTTCTGTCGGAAATGCCGATCGTACCTCAGGTCGGCTGACAGCTCACTCGTCTTATTAAGATCGGACATTCATAATAGCAGAGGGTAACAAAGGTTCGTACCCCCGTCGACTGTTCCTAAACCGGGCCGCGCCTCTGCGGCCTCTCTTCCTGGCCTTGTGTCCGACAAATCCAGGTCAGGGTTCTGTCCACTTGATGCAGGAAGCCGCGGTTGAAGAAACTCGTGCCGACTATAGGAGATGAAAAGTGCGGGCAATTCGCTCCTGACTTCAAATGTTCAGGCGCCAGAAAGGTGGCGGTGCCTCAGATATGTTCAAGACAATTGTTTTTGGTCAAATGGTTTTGCTACAATTTATCGGATGTTAGAGCGTGCATATAATTTAGTTTTCAATATCAAAGATGATGCATAACATATTGATCGATAAGCATTTGTCATCTATGAATATAAAGTTAGTGGCCTTCTCTGATTTGCGTATGAAGTTTATGCAGAGAGCTGAATGTTTCTTCTGCATGGGGACTGCTGGTCCCAGTGCAGGACATCAACAATAGTCAGATGTCCTGGGGATACATGGATGATTTAGCGGACCAATGACATTAAGGCTTAACCTTCTTGTTTACTGCGATGTTGCATTACACAAGGCGGTAGTTACATCAGCAATCTTAAGTCTCAATATTGTGGTGATCTCATGTGAATTAACACATCAGGCTGTTTCTGAAGAGATGAGTCGGCTCATGTCCTAAGTGTCACAGGCCAGTGTTTAATCAAGTAGAAAATTCCTTAAAGTAGTTGATTGACACAAATACACACAACAAAAGTATGCATCTGTATTGAGTCTTATTGATTACTGCATGGGTTTGAAGTCAGAGGTCACGGCAGGCCAATCTATGCAGTGTACGGTTAAATCAATTATTTCTTTACATTCATGTTATTATTTGCTTGTTTTGTTTTGTTTTCCCAAAAATTACCATCATACATTTTTCCTCAGAGAGCTTCACATTCACGTCAACATCAAACCATAAATCAGAATAGCAAAGTTTTCTCAAAAACAAACTTTGAATGGTTTTTAAAAAGGAAGAAATCAAAGGAGAGATACTTAGAATATAAGAATATACATAATATTTAAGGATGGCCAGAGGTGAAGTAGATGAAGGGAATGAAAGACATAATTTTCACGGTAACAGACGTTCGGAGCATTTTATTCTGCATCACAACAGTCAACTCAACAGGGCAAAGGCGAGCCGGCACCTTGCGCAATGCTAATGATGCTAACAGACATGACTGCAGATAGTACTAGCAGTGCTCATCAGAGGGGGACCCGGTTGTGGGGCTCAACACGACTGTACTTGTCTGTGTAATGCATACATTCCCAGCAGTTTGGGCTATGAAAAAACTTCAAGTTCATGTCGAATTGGGGGTCCGATGTCTCGTCCTCATTCAGTCTTACTTTAAAGAAGATAAGATGACTAAACCCCTCGTGGACCACCATCGTGTCCAGATTTGGTTATAGGAAATGACACAGCAATCCATAATGCAAATGTTGTGTAGCCCAACCCCCCAATGCATCCAAGAAGAGTATAAGGATCAGCAGAGGTTCTTGTCATGTTCAGTTGCAGGGTCGCAGCAACGGACCGGAGGCTTTCATACTTGGTATATACACTGACTGTAAAACATGACTTTATGTTGGTATATTGTTTGCTAATTATGGTGTGAATACTGATATCTACATCCTCATATGTTTTCACAGGTGACTGAGAGGACAGATATCTGTGTTATTTATGAGCCACAGAAACAATGTTATAGACCAGAATCCATTTGGCTTTGGTGCTTTCACCAGTGAGGTGGAAATCAGTGTTACTCTGGTATGCATCATTGTTTAGATTTATTTCAGTGGATGAAAAAAATAACTTTCAAACCAATAAGATTATTTTGTGATTCTTTGTTTCTGTACTCAAATTTAACGGACAAGAAAAGCTCCTTAATGTGTTTGCCTGCCTCACATTATAATTATAAGAACATTTAAATGCAGGTAGAATAATGAGTTGAGGCATTATTCAAACGGATAACAAATAACACTTTTACTGAGCCAGTGTTGCTGCTACATCCTCTATGACTGACTGTGTTGCACGCATAGTGCTCATCAAAAAAATGGAGAACTCCACTGAGGTTGTGTCTTTTGTGCTGTCTGCTTATGGAAACATTGGAAACTTAAAGTACCTGTATTTCTGCATAATGCTATTATGGTACATCTTAATTTGTGTGTCAAACACAATTCTTATTGTGGTCATATACATGGACAGAAGATTGCATGAGCCGATGTATTTATTATTATGTCATTTATTTATGAATGAAATAAGTGCAAGCACATCACTATATCCTCTTCTGCTCTCACAGATGTTTTCAGATACACATGAAGTGATGTTGCCATGGTGTTTTCTGCAGATGTGTTGTTTCTACATATTTAGCTGTGTTGAGTTATGCAGTTTAACAGCTATGGCCTATGACAGATATGTCTGTATCTGTTATCCTTTACAATACAATGTTTTGATGAGCAACGGGAGAGTAGGTAAGATCATTCTGCTTGTTTGGATTTATTCATTTACTAGCTATATGTTCTCATTTTCATTTGTCATCCCTTTGAAATTTTGTGGAAATGTCATTGACAAAGTGTTTTGTGACCAACAGTTAATATTTAAACTTTCATGTTCAGTCTCAGTACTTACCAGCATATCTGACCTGTTTTTTGGCTTTATGTGTTTAGTTTTCCCATTTGTTCTCATTTCAGTCTCTTACATGAAGATTTTGTGGGTTTGTCTAAATGTGTCAAAAGAAAGCAAACAAAAAGCTATAACAACCTGCACACCTCAGATGGTCTCACTGGCAAACATTTTTGTCGGTGGTATTCTGCATCTTATGGGATCTATCTTTGATATTCCCTATTTCCCAGATAAAGTGCGCATTATATTATCCATATACCTCCATATACTTCAACCAATGATCGCCCCCTTCATGTACGGACTTCACCTCCACAAAATAAGGCAATCGTGTAAAAGACTTCTGTTTGATAGAAAATAAATATTGTTAATGTACTCTGATGTAATGTTTTTTTGATGTAAAAATAAATGTTTCTCTTAATGTGGCAATGATGTATTTAGAGTAGGGGGTGTCAATAGATTAAAATAAAAATAACTAATTAATCGCACATTTTGAAATTCATTAATCTCGATTAATGAATGTTGTTGTTGTTGTTACAATGTTGTTTTTAATGAATGTTTTGACTAATGACTAAATTTTAAAAGTAATGAGTAATCACTTTAGAAAGTGTTTATTTTAGACACTGTGGTTTGTTGTGGAATATTTCAATAAAAGCTCGGTAGAAGAGAATGATTTGTCTGATAAAACAGAGTCTTGATGAATGATCAAAGTTGCAAAAAGTCCATTTATTGCTTGCAAGCAGGAGGTCAAATACACCAGCACGTATCACGGTGCACTGTGGAAATGACGTCTCTGAGCACTAAAAACGTGGAGTTTTTATACACATGTGAAGGACATTCTCCGTGCCAGTTACGAGAAGCCGCAAAGCAGGTTGAGATAAGAACCCAGGTGAAGCTGAGGGTAGCACACACACATACAAGATCCTCCTCAGTGGCCGGTGCAAATCATAATTAATTGACATAAAAGTAAAACTTGGATCCGGAACTTTCGTACCGAATAAGATATGAACCAAGGCCATGAACAGAAGTCCTTTGTTTTGAAGCTTCTATGAGATCGAGTCGACCGCCCTCCCTTCTCAGGGCACAGCTGCAAACTAACATTTTGTATCATGCTGCTCTTTGCACATCAGGGTCAAATACAGGACACTTGAGACACGGCTTTAGCACAAAAAAATGTTATAACATATTTTTACCATTACAGGTTTGATTCTTAATGTTATTTTAAACACAAAACTACACACGTTTGATCATCTTGGAGGCAGAATTTGCAATTTGCTCCCAACTCTCCATAATTTAACAGCTGTCTTTGAGGTGCCAACAATCTCCCCACATTTAGCTAGGACGTTTTCAAACACAGTCTTTTAGGGACACAGTGATGGTCCTCTGCCGACGTTAGATGTTGAGATGGAAGCAGCATAGCAGCTAGCTTAGCCTAGCAGCCAGGTTGGCAAAGCGGCGCTCTAAGTTGTTCGTTTGACACTCACCCCACTTCTGTTTGACACGTGGAGTAATTCCTCTACATAGTTCTCAGTTGTATTATCTGGTCCCGGAAGTAAACCGGAAGTAAACAAACGTACGTTTAACTACGTTAAAATGTTTTGTTGCATTAATCTTGACCACATTAATTGCATAGATTAATGCATTTATGTTGACAGCCCTAGTTTAGAGCCAATAGAGTTACATCTGCTCCTTGGAAAAGTAACATGAAATCCTATTTCATTGGGATGGCGATCCAAGGATCAGAACCTCTGAATCTGAGGCCATGGTTCTCAGCAGGAAACCGATGGATTCCCTACATAGGGAATGTGTCCTTACCTCAAGTGAAGGAGTTCAAGTACCTCGGGTGTTGATCCTGAGTGAGGGGAAGATCGACTGTGATTTGGCCGTAGAATCGGAGCAGCGGGGGCGGTATTGCACTCGTTTTACCGCACCGTTGTGACAAAAAGAGAGCTGAGCTGGAACGCAAAGCTGTCAATCTACCGAGCAATCTTCGTTCCTAACCTCACCTATTTTCACGAAGAATGGGTCATGAACAAAAGAACTAGTTCACAAGCGGAGAAAATGGGTTTTATCAAGAGGGTGACTGGCATGTCCCTTAGAGATGGGGTGAGAAGCTCAGTCATCTGTGAGGAGCTCGTAGTAGAGGCCCTGCTCCTTAGAGTGGAAAGGAGCCAGTTGAGGTGGTTTGCGCATCTAGTAGGAATGCCCCCTTGGCGCCCCCCCAGGGAGGTTATACAGGCTCGTACATTTCGGAAGAGAACCCTGGGAAGACCCTGAACTATTTGGAGAGATTATGTCTCCACACTGGCCTGGGAATGCCTTGGGATTCCCCAGTCAGAGTCGAAAGATGTGGCCCGGGAAAGGGACGTTTGGGATCCCCTGCTGGAACCTTTGCTCCCGCGAACGGACCCCCGTATAAGTGGTTAAAGATGAGTTGAGATTAGACAATATTATTACAGTAACCCTACGATGAAACCATTCTTTTAAAATGAATCAACACGTTAATTTATCCTCTTTAGTGCTGCTAATCAGAGTTTACGATCAGGAGGTTTGCCAAATCAATGGATGGAATATCGGGGAGGTAAGCTTGAGGCATACTTGTATTGATTGTAGACCTAAGTTGACCACAATGCAGGCACTTGTGTCTTTGGCAGCTGGCAATCCAATGGCACCGTTGGGTTCCTACATTGGAGGTTTACCATGACTGATTTTGATATTTAAGTAATATAGGAAGAAAGGGGTATAAATCACTGCTCTTAATGGAATACATACCTGATGACTCCTACTATTGTAAACCCAATGATGAGCATGTGGATGAAAATAAAAACGGGCCATTATATGCAAAAACACCGTTGTACGTCATCCAATGTAACTGAGTGACCTTATTTATTGTGTTATAAAAGAGAGAAAATTAGTATTGAAAAGCCAGCTGGTCCAGCTGGTGCAGGTAAGTTAAGCAAAGATC